GAACAATTCACAGATTTAAAAGTTTTACTGATGCACTGTTAATTTTACTACAGTTAAGAACCCGTACATTATTTAAAACTATTCCCCTATATTACTACTAGTTTAACACCAGCGTTAATATAGTGAACGCCATTTGTGTGAACACTTTGGAATTTTAATCCGTGAATAAGCTTAATAATAATAATAATGATAATGTGTTAATCCAATTAATATAGTGAGATAACATAACGTTAGTTTATCGGGGGCGGGTTGAGCTAATGCTGAACATATGAAGCATTTCGATTTTTATAAATCAAATATTATTAGCTGGGAATTGGTGACTGAGTTTCAGATTTTTTTTAGGATTTAGCACTTCAAGAAGCTTGGAAATAACACTTTCAAATTTTTTTGAAGTGTAACATTTTTACAAGTAACATATGAAGCATTTAGAACTAGAAATAAAATATTATTGCACATGGGATTTCAGACTTACAGGCAAGAGGCTATTTGATTGTTATTGACATTGGCTGCCACTTCTTTACCATAACTAGTCTAGTACGGTACAGTAATAACATCGAAGTACACTGTACCAGTTAGCTAAACTTTGTGTCATCCAGTGGCGGATCCAGAAATTTGAAATTGAGGGGCCCAGGGAGGGACTTTCACAGATAGCAAGACAAGGACCTCAGCTTCACCAAGGTTGGGGCAGAGGTAAGAAAAAAATTATGATTTTGGCACCTCAGACTTATTGCTGCGAAGCAGCCAATTCATATTCTTGACAGCAATTTGACCTCTGAAAGGTCATTGTTTGTCAAAAAACAAGGGCCTAAGACGACTGAAAAGCGGAGTTTTCCTTCTCTCGTTCTGCCGGGTAAAATCAATTACTTTAGGCGACGTTTGTAGACTAACCAACACGTACCAACGTCCACATGTCGCGCTAGCCTTATCCTACTCTAGGCCTAGACTAGCTAGGATGGTATAGTCCTAGCCTTGAAGGTACGAAAGTCCCAATGAAAAACAACGTCGCTCCTTGATAGCTAACATTGTCTATTTAACATCTCAATAATTCATTATTAGACCTATAGTTGTTTTTTGAATTGTACTCCACAAATCTCAGCCGATACCTCGCACAACTCGAGTAACGTCTCGTATCTATTGTCGTGACGTCATGGCTCGCTGGCTCACACTTGCGATGTCTCGCACTTGTGATCAAATACACGCTGGCTCGCACTTTGGCAACACTCTTTGGCAGTCAACTCGCCCCTAGAAAACCCGCCCTTGGAAACTTGCCCCATAAAAAAATGTACACTTCCTAGACCAGTCTTCAAAATAAAAATTGTAACCTTTGGTAACCAACTACATTTTCCACATACATAGAAATTTTTGAAACTTTATTAAAAAAACCTAAACCATAATTCACCACTATAGACACTTTTTGACAAAAATGTAACTTTGTTACCCAATGAGAAGTGTTCTAATATAGACAATGGGTCGTGTCTCATATTATTTGTTATATTTTTATTATTCATTATTTTCACTTGACTCGCATAAATAATTTTGTTCGAAGAACATTTATATGCAGTTGTACTTGGCAGCACTTCACTTGCAATTTGCAATTTCTATTATTAATATAATTTTCATTACACTGTACATTTAACAAAAGCTAAACATTGTGTCATCCAGTGGTGGATCCAGGAATTTGATACAAAGGGGGCCCAGAGAGGGACCTTCAAAGATAAAGGGTCCAAGAACAGCCCTACCATGGTTGGCTCAGGTAAAAAAAAAATGATTTTGGCACCTCTAGATGGTGGGAAATGGCACTCTCATACTAATTATATAATTTTCTTTTGTTCTTCATTAATTTATAATTTATATGTTTACAGCGTTTTAGCGCGGCTCACTTAATAATAATAATATTAATAATTTAACAAAATACGCCACTAAAGTAAAAGTAGAAAATTTTTTTTTTTAATTATAAAAAGTATTATTTTAATATAATATTTATCTCAGCAAAAGACGGCTGCCTAACCTGCCGGACCACTCCTACTGCCCATGCTGTACTTGGTCTTGAATATATACTGTAAAATTATGAGATACACAGTAACGGCAATAATGGTTAACTTTCTAGAGAATTTAAGATACTAACCTGAAATGGCAACATAGCATTTGTGACACAGTGGAGCATACGGTGGCTCAATCAGGTGGCCTGCTCCGGGGTAGCTTAGTATTTTCCAGTTACTTTTACCATGTTTTTGAAGATATTTACAAGCTAATGTTGAGAACAGCTTGCTTGACCAGGTTTTATCTTCCTCTCCAGCAATAAATAGAAACTGACATGATGAGTCCTCAAGCTGTTAAAAACAATTATTCCTTAAGTAATTTATATGGAAACTGCCGCCCACATCATAATTCTCCTCAGTATAAATTTCCCCCGCATATTGTCCCTATAAAAAAAGATAAAGGAAAAAAACTAAAAAAACAATTAGATTCCTTGGGATTTGTACCCAGGGCTGGTAGTGTGGAAAACACTCTTCAACCACTACACCAAACTGTTTATATATCACTGAGAAATTAATGGTTATATGTTTACACTTTATCGGAAAGCCCGCATTAGCACACATCACACACGTCTATATGGCTAACAGTTATACAAGTTTTTCGATCATTGTGTCCTTGACCTATGAACCTGACACTTCAAAATTCAGTCACTTTCAGATCTTTGGTAAAGGAACATTGTGGTCAAGTTTTACAAATTCCTGATAAAAACCGTCTCAAAAAAAATCGTTTTTTGTTGATTGTGACCTTGACCTTTAACCCTTACTCTTCAACCTTCAAATGCCTTGAGATCTTTGGTCATGGAACATTGTGAACAAGTTTGACAAGTTTGTGATTAAAACTATGGGCTGTAGGCTGTTCACAACAAATATGCCAACAGACAAAATAAATAAATAAATATACAGGGGCAAAAACATAACTTCCTGCCAACTTCATTGGTGGAGGTAATGAGATCTTTAGTCATGGAACATTGTGACAAAGTTTGACAAGTTTTTGATCCAAACTATGGGCTGTAGACAAATAAATTTAAAAAATAGGTTTTTTGTTAATTGTGACCTTGACCTTTTACCCTTCGAAATTTATTCAGCTCTAGACCTTAGATAAAGGAAAAGGAAAAAGTGGCCAAGTTTGATGAATTTCTAATAAAAAATATGGGCTGTAGGCTGTTCACAACAAATATGCCGACAGACAAATATATAGCTAAATAATAAACCAGGCGAAAACATAACCTCTTGCAACTTCGTTGGCGGAGGTTAGAAACCAATATCTGGACAGAAAGTTCTGGATGTAAAACTCCACATGCAAAAATTACATAGGAATCTTTTACCCCTCCTTCCCTGATAGGGCCAGTTCTCTCTACAGATAGCCCTGGGCACTGACTGGTGCAGACAAAACCGACAAGAGTGACCCTGGGGACTGGAGTTGCAGACACCCAGCATTTCATGTACAGTAACTAGATGCTTAATTCAAACAATTTACATAATAAAAAGAGAGAAAATAATGAAACCCTCTTGAGAAAAATGCATTAACATGAAAAAAAAAAATTTGGTTTTAATTGTTTTGTCCATGGCCCCTGAGCACTGGCCTCCCTCTGCACTCTCTCTCTCAGCGATAGTGGGTGCAGGTGCTACCACTGCAGGCCCCTAATTAATTAATTAATTACAAGAATGTAAAGAGGACTCACATTCATCAATGCAAAGAGGACTTACATTCATCATTGTGGAATGGTCGATGTCTTCAGGTTTATTTGGCCAATAACGAGTGACGTTGAACACTCCATCCTCTTCTACGAAAACACTTTCTCTTGAAACACTTAATTTGGGCAAAAGGAATTGATAAGAATATCTTTATTAATAATTGTAAGTCAAACTTAATACACACTGGTTAAATCCATATTGATTGTCAAATAATACATTCTATTTACCCCATGGTCTTGCCATCCTCACCCCCATATTTCCCTTCCTTATATCTTACTTTAGTGTTGGTTGCACCTTTCCTTTGTATAACCTTGAAGGTTCATCTGGGGTATAAAATGGACTTCCATTGATGCAGACACAGGCCTTGATCTAAAATATTCAATAATAAATTTTTTTAAATAAAAAAAATATCATATGGAACTGGTCTTTTTACAATATTTTCTTCAAAATAATAGAATAACTGTATTATTATTCCTGTAACAAGCAAGAGTACAAGCAACACAAATTTAGAATCTAGAGGTTTGCTGTGACAAGATTCAAGAATTTATTACATCCATATGCATCTCATAAATTTGACCATCTTCGTTTGCTATTTGGAGTTTGCTTGGACATTTGTTTTATTCAGAATATTCCATTTATCATTTGGAGCCTTGGATAGACATCAATTTTTCGGAACTGTTTTATGCGTTATTTGGAGCTGTAGACATTATACGGAACCGTATTTACTCGGCCAAGAGCTGGGCCGTTTTATGTTCATGCTACCGTATAAATAAACTAGTTGGTATTAAGTTATTTATGTGTATCTTATTTCAAATGTTTTATACTGTAGATTCAACACACTATTAGAGAACAGAAAACTATCATTGCAAGATTTCATGGAGGAAGATGAAATTAACCCTGGTATTCTTAAAATGAACATTAGTCGTAGTTCGAGCTAAAACTTAATTAAAGTAAAAATTACGTCATTTTGTATTCTTAAAATGAACTTCGACTAGCACTACGATTAAATCACACAAACCTCGACCAAAATAATACCTCCGCAGGCCCATTTTTTTAGTCAGCCTAGGGTAAGGCTAAATTGCCGACTTGAAACATTTACCTCACTAAAAACATATTTTTTGTAACTCACGATAGAGTGAAAAGAACAAATACAATTGTATAAGTAGGTCTGATGTATCTTCAGTGTTTTCACAAAAAGGGAAATTGAGTTTAGCTTCTAAAAGGCGAAATTAACATGTTTTGCTAGCCACATGCGATAGTTCCTAATTCGCACGATATCCCTTTGCATTGCGGTCACGGCGCTTCACCGTAACAACAACAAAGATGGCGCCACCTTCATTCAGGCTCAACGATAATCGTTCTCCAAAAAGAAAGCAAATTTTCAGTGACTGTTCAAATTCTCTATCGTTATGTTAACAACTAATATAGATATTATAGAAAATTAATTAAGCAAATAATACTCTATTACGAATTATGAGAAAATATGTTTTTGAATGACAGATGGCAGCTTAATATTCATCCGTGTTACCAGTTTTCTAAAATTTTGTCTGCTATTAAAAACTCTTTTCATTGGTTAGTTTGATAGTCGCTGCTTGTCAGCCGTCTTCAGCTGAACTACTAGGACTTGATTTAGTTGTAATTAGAACTTCGTGTATGTTGTTTATGAATACAAATTGAAGTTTAAGTTGCAACTAGGACTAGTAAAGTACTAGTTCGAAGTTAGGTTATAGTTTGTTTTAAGAATACAGGCGCGAGTGTCTAATAAAGAATTAAATTTCCATATAAATATATAAGTAACCTTCGATCCACAAATTGTAGCGAGTTTCAGGACAGTTTGGGCACCTGCAGATACACCGATGATACCGATCCCAGAATCCATCACAAGTGGGTTATTCACCAGCCAATCGACAGCTTCCTAAAGGAAATGTTAAATTATTATTCTAAACTTAATAAATTCATCATTAAAATGCTTGAGGAAAATTTACAGTTGTTGCATTTGCACTTTGGAATAAACTTCCAGATCATATTAAAAAAAAGATGACTCTGTTGAGTCATTTAAATAAATTCTTGAAACTCACCTTTTTTCGACTGTTTAATTTACAGTTTACATTACTTTGATATCGATGGGTGAGACCACATGAATGTCACCATCTCCTGCATCGCTGCTCATTTTCATTTTGTTTTTATGTTAGGTTGTTTTTATTTATTGTTGTTATGCTGTTTTGTTTGTTGTTATGTTGTTTATTATTATGTTGTTGTTAAGCGCCTCAAGGTTGTTAATATTAGGCGCTATATAATTATTGATTATTATTAGTATCATTTATAAAGTTAAGTGAAATACAAACTACTCTATAGATAATAGAATATACCACTTGGATCATTGGATCAGAATTATGAATTGATAATAAATTTGTGTGTTTGAGGGGTGAGTTGGATGGACGAAAAAATGTGGCAGTGTAGGAAGGATAATGGAGGGGGTTAGGAGGGTTTTAGTCCATATCCGAATGAGTTAGCCACCAATAAATGATGTAATAAAATATTATAAAAAGATACAAATAGCAATAAAGAAAATTCATATATTACCTCAAAATACACCATATCAACTTCCACAGGGTTTTTGGTTAAGTCTTCATAGCCGAAGAATGGCAATGATAAGCAAGCAAAGCCATAGGAGGAGAACAAAGCAGCACGAAATTCCATAATACCACCAGCCGTTCCAAACATATCAATAATACCCGGAAATGGACCATCACCTGCATTCCAAAAAATAGGTACAATTATCTGAAGCAAAGTATTCAGGGGTAGCACCAGCTGTTGGGCTGGCTGTGCCCAGGCCCAACTGTCAGGGGTAGCCTGGCCTAGCTGTCAAGAAACCACAGTAAAATCTGCAGGGAAGAATGGTGGGGCTGAGGTGGGTGGGTGTAGCATTTGGCCTATATGTCGGGGAACGATGGAAAATCAGGGAAAAGCTGGTGCCACCTCTGAAAGTATATCATAGAAACACCCATTAGACTATTTCGGACAGTAAACTAGTTTATTAGTACAATCAGTACTATCAGATGCTTCTTGCTGAGTATCGTACATATCACTGGGGTGAAAGGTCATTTTAGTCTGTTGTAGTCAGTCATAGAGTAATTCAATTCAATTTCAATTCAAGGATTATTTTCAAATTGCATTTCAGTTGCAAACTGAATTACAACAAATGGTTACAATTTAAGAAATTATAAATATAAAAAATATATATATTAAAAACATTAAAAAAAATGAAATTTAACGAGATCAAGAAAGTAATAAATGTTACGAATAAAGTTAAATATAATAAATAAAAAAGAAACACCTTTACATGTAAAGGTGTTACTTTTTTATTTATTATAACAAAGTAACACCTTTACATGTAAGTGGCTTTCGGGCATTGTTTGGGTTGAATTAAATTTAGTTTTGTTTTGAATAATTAGATCATATAACTGTACTTAATTCAAAGTGGATTGAAAACAGGCAGTATGATGAGGTACCTTTAGGTTTGAATAGTGTTCCTCGTATGTTGCCACTTTTAATTTCTATCCTCTCAACATCCTTTGCCATATACCACCTCTCCACGGTCGTTTTAGCAAGGATTTTGTGTGCGGAGGTTCTCGAATAGAATTCTTCAGTTGACAAGAAACCTTCATAGACAGTCAGATCAAAAACAAGTGGCGTTGTTACATTTTTCTTGACCAATCGTACTCCAGCTTTCTGTCCCGGAGAAGGCTGCATATGGGAGAACAGCCCCATTGGCATGACACCTAAGTAAGAAAGACAATGTAATATTGCATGATAAATCTATATAAATATCATGTTGATTTTTGATAATCTCTGGGCACTGACTTGTTTCAGTTCATTTTAGTATTTGAACCAACTTGGTGGAGCTACTTTGCCGCTATATGGGGGGGGGGGGAAGGAGGGTTGCTACCCCTCCACCATTGATGCATATTAAATATTATCATTGACATTGTGTAACCTAGGCCTAGCCCAATATATTGCCTAGGGGCCTACTGTAGGCCCAGCTAGCCTAGGCCTTTTTAAAAACGCCATGGCTACAGATACAGTACCATATTTCTACTTCCATTTGCTAAAGGTACGGTAAATGGCATTATGTCACCATCACCCAATGAAGAGCCAGAATGTGCGTGACATCATTTTTCAAGACTGGCATTGCATTTCACCCACGATGAGTGGTGAAATGCAAACGATGTACAGTACTGGGTAAATATGCGTATGGTTCCACTCAGTAAGAGTCATGTCATTTATCTACATAATAGCCATTATCAAACATGAACTGAATCCTGTACCAAACTCTTGCCATATGCCACTAGGCTTTGCTTGGATTCTTGTATTGAAATAGGCCTATGCAGTACAGAGGCCCTACAGTAGTATTAGCACTCTAGACTAACATTGTTTTAGTTTCCATATGAAATTTTCCTGTGTTAAAAACATGATTTACTACACTATACTTCTTTATAAAACATAACTTGTACTTTATCATAAGAGAAATCTGTATATTATCGGTACCTGGAACAACAATAATACAAAAGTACTATGCTACTGCACTGTAATGCATGGGCCTATTTTAATACACTATTTAGATAGGATCTTCTATTGCCATCTTGATTTCAGAGGTCAAAAATATTTTTCAATTTTTTGTCAATGATATAATGGTGTAGAATAATCTTTTAAGAACATTTTCCAGAAAAAATTAATGTGAAAAAACCCTCCGTTATGGAGTTATGAATTTTTAGATAACATGAAGACAAGAATTTAGCCTCAAAGCTTATCTTATTTCTGTTGGATATGCACCATTGACTTGAGTTGTTTGTCATCACCGATTCGTGGAAAAGGCGTATTCCTCCATGGTCAAGTTCTCAACCCCCAAAATCTCATCCCAAGTTTTAGTCCAAGAAGCCTATGTTATAATATATTCGCAATTACTACGCTTTACAATCTGACCAAAATATTCATACACTGCACATGCATAACCGATACCTCCTTGATTTACCGAACTTGGCAACTCTACGTAGACTTCATCGCTGTTATGGTACTTCCCCTAATTGTAAACATTGTTCGTTCGGCCAGAAATCAGATCGAGAGAATGAGTTTCCACAATCGTGATTATAGTGTCAAATTTGTTGAATATACTTTTGATGCAGGCCCATTTAAACAGTAAAGTGCTAGTAATCCTCATAACAATAATCTTATTTACAGTTTACAGTATGTTTTAGTGCATGTGTTGTCATGTAAATAGATTAGACCAAAGACTGAGTATATGTCAACACTCTTATATATAAACGAAGGCCTGGCCTGGGCCTCATCCTGAGGATTCATGCCTTTCTTGATATAGCCATAGATAAATGATATGACTCTTATTATTACCAAGTGGAACCCTTATGCCTATTTACCGATGACAGTATTATAAGAAAATACTGTACTCTTGCCTACCTATACTCTGGCCTAGCTAATCATGTGCAAAGTACATTTATTCGCTGGTCACACCGCACCACCTAACACTGCAGGCCATCTGCAATACCGGTCTTGAAAGATGACCGGCACGCACATTCTTCATTGGGTGATGGAATATTAAAGCTTAAACAAAGTTGAATAATTTTTTCATAGACGAGAGGTGAACACACGCGTACACATTCACTACCATGGCATGTGTTTGCACCTAAAAAATAGACAAAGGATGCCTGCTTCACTCTAAAGAGTATCGTGGGAACCTGTTTGTGGGTGTTTCTTTCCGATTTTTAAAGTTAGTTTTCATGCAACAATAGGCCTTGTGAGTGAAATTTCTGGCTCACTTAATATCAAAAGCCTGAAACAGCCATTAACATTGTAGGCCTATACATTTTTTTAAAAAAACATTTTACTATTTTCATTTATTTGTGTATTTTATAAACATGCCTAATCAAAATATGTATCGACAATGGAAATAAAACAAACAAGAAGATACAAACCATGTGTCTGCTTCACTTCAACATAATTGTTGAACACGTTTCTTTCCTCAAATTATACTCTAGTTAATAATTTCTTTAGTTAATTTCTATGCAATGAGTGATTTTGTCGGCCTTATGAATACAATAATATATTTGCTTTATTTTCATTATCACATCATTCAATATATTTTAATTTATTTTATATATGTATTGTTATAAATAGAACATTTGGTAATGTAAATGGAGACGTAACAAACAAACAAACAAACAAAAAAAAAAACTTATGACAAACTAATCCGCTAAATTAAGTACAACTATAAGCCTACTTATTTTATAAATCTAAATTTTATTGAAGCATTTATAAACATGATCCAAATATTTCGTATGGAAACAATAAAAAGGAAGGTGTCTCCAAGCAATCGACTTTTAACATTTGCGTTGTTTCTGTAAAAAGAAAGATAACACCATTTGATACTGCAATGAACTCTTTAATAATAATAATAATTAATAATAATAATAACAATAATAACAATAATAATAATAATAATAATAATAATAATAATAATAATAATAATAAAATACTACTAAAACGAATTCTTAATATCTGATAATGTTGCAGTAATATAGCCTAAGTTTCATGTTTAACATACGGTCTACTGCTTAGCCACCTTGTTCTATTAAATTATTATTCGCGGCCGCACCTTCGGCGCTCCATACACCGCAACCGAAATGCATGACAAAAATACCAACTCCGGGCTGAAACGACTTGGGCCGAAATGACCTGGGGCCGGATCGACCCAGGCCGAATCGACTCAGGGCTGAAACGACTCTACACCGTATCAACCTGTGTTTATAAAGTTATCTTTATTGTTGGAAAATGTACTTTGTAGGTGGTTGAATCATGTAAAAATGTTTTATTTTATAATTACGTGTTGTGACTGTGAGAAAAACATTGAGGTAAAGAAATTAAGAGTTGAAAGTTAGGTGCGAAAGTACATTAGCACCCCTTTAGCAAATAGAAGTAGAAATATGGTACCGTATCTCTAGCCACGGCATATTGAAAATTTGAATAGGCCTAGGGTAGGCCTAGACTTATAGGGCCTACCTATACTACTTGTAACGTATACAAGGGCGGATCCAGCCTGCCACAAAAGGGGGAGAGCAAAGTGAGCAGCCTTAGGCTGGGAGCAGGGGGAGGCACCCAGGGCCCCTTGGTGGGGTCCGGGGCAGAGCCCCTGGTGGGAGTGGAAGGGGGCGAAGCCCCCTTGAAGCCCAGCACATTTGAGGAATATGAGGTTGTATTGAGTCGATTTTGACTATCTAGCATGGTAGTTTTCAGTAACAAATAAATTTTTTTAAAAATAGGTGTATATCTTTTAAAAGAAATTTTAATATACAGGGTACCTGCAATATGCAACTATGAAATGTGTCATTAAATTAATCACAGCTGTGGGTTTTAGTGCCTCTTCCATGAACATCTCACACACAATCTTTGAAAACTTGCAAAGGCTCATAAATGTACACCATTTCAAAAGAGAAATTTCACTTCTAGAAAACATGATGAAGTTTCTTAGCAACATCGAGCATAAAAATCACAAAATCAGTAAAAAGGAAAACTAATATCCAAAATCCGTTAAAAAAAAGTTGTGGTACTGTAAAAATCTGCTACTGTATACAGTATTAACATTGAGTAAATTATGCAGCTGTCAATTTATGACGCACCATAGGACCCCTGGGAATGGTGCGTCACTGGTTCAACGTGTGTCGCGTTTTCATACGACGGACCCCAGCGTCCTAATTATGACGGACCTTCGTCTTCCATGACGGAACTCTCTGTCAGTTCTGTGACGCACCATACTTGATTCTGACGAACCATAGTGACGGACGAACCATAGGCAAGCAGTGCAGCGCTCCGCAGATAGCCAAAATACACAGAAGCAAAGAAATATAATGAAAAGATAGGCCTACCTGAGTCAGTAAAAGAGGAAAGTAAAACTGCTCTAGGCCAGGCCTAGTGACTAGGCTAGGCCTGGCCTAGCAGTAGCAGGTAGTAGGGCCCTTGCCCTAAAAAGAATATTAGGCCTACTATGCTAGAAGGTGCATGGCGCGCCGACAGTGCGACCGCAAATCTATAACAAGGAAGCTAAGCAGTATAGTACAGTAATTTTATAAACACAAAACTTACATAAAACATTAGTTAATTAACAATTATTTGTAATGTACTAGTATCAACGGCGGCAGAAGTGGGGAAGGGGGTGCAGGGGGCCATTGGCCCACCCACTTTTTCTACTGGTGGGGCCTGTGACTGTTCCCAGCACC